TGAGATACAATGTACAAGAGAGAGAGAGATAGATAGATAGATAGAGAGAGAGTCGCGGTAGATATGAACTATGTGATGCGTATCACGACAAAAGCGTATGATGGTCGAAGTGACTTCACCCTGTGCGTATATGAGCCAGAAGAGGAGCTGCGCACGACGGAGTAATGCCAGAGAAGATGATCAGAGCACAACTACCATTGTGCAATTTTGCACATCCACACCGTTTTTCAGTGTGATTCCACCATATTTCTGTTTGGTTTGAGTGCGTGGTGTGTTATACGAAGAGTTCTAGTCAGTTTGCGGTGGCGAATGGTGGTTCCGATGACGGTGAATGGCGATTCGGCGGCAGCATGTGACCGTCAGGCAACAATGTGTGCAGAGGCACACGGTCTTTCTGTGGTTGTGCACTGTAAGTCCTGACACTCAATTCGGGTAGGTGAGTTCAAAACCGTGACGTGCTTTATGTTTTAGGATTTAAGTTTAATAAAATTTTAATAATGGTAAATTGGCTACCTAATTTAAAATGTGGGTTAAGTTTTAGTACGGGTATTTAAAATTAGGAGATGCCTAGTTTACTACTAACTCAAGACGAATATCACTGCAACAAGTTAAGTTTGCATTTCGTGAATAATTTCATGAAACAGATCTAGATAGAAATTAGGTAAGTGTGTAAGTGCTTATAAATGTAATTTAGTAGGTTTAAGAAATTAAAATTATGGCATCTAATAATTAATAAATTTATTATTAAATCATAAATTAATGCAGGATTCTGACAGAATTTTATTATTGATTTTTGTGTTTTTTTATATTTATTACTGAATTTACTGATGAATCGCTATACTCTATTTGGTAACTAAATTCTTATATGTGTTAGTTGTCATGGTATCAACTGTTAGGATATTAAGGTTACATAAAGGACACTAGTTTGATGAGTATATATAGTATGTGTGATGTGGGTATAAGAATAATTAAATAATAAATTTTGAAAATTTATTACAGAGTAAAAATAAAGAAATAATATTAAAAGACTTTGAAAACTCATTTAACCGTTATCAACAAGAGAGGGGTGCGTGTGTAACACCCAAATGAAAATAAATACTTTATTTATTTATTTTTATTTTTTTATTTGGATTTTTATTTAATTTAATTTAATTTAATTTAATTCAATGAAAATAAAAATAATTATAATGATAAAATTGGGTAAAAATATTATTTGGATTTAATTGAAATTGATTTTGGAAAAAAGGGGTGAAAATTTGGATTCTGGGGGTATTTTTGAAAAGAAAATCGGAAACCGGGGGTCAAAACGTAATTTAGAAAAGTTGTGCCACGTCAGCAGCCACGTCAGCGGCCCGGTCAGCAGCCCCGGCAAACCAGGACGCGCCGCGTGGCAAGGACACGCTGACCAGGGGACGGGCCACGAGGGCGATCCGCGTGCGCGCGACCGGACGGCCCAGATCCGTTCCCGCGCGCACGGACGGCCCAGATCAAACGTGCGCACGGACGGCCCAGACTCACGCGCACAGACGGCCCAGATTCACCTGCACGGACGGCCCAGATTGCATCGTGATGAACGGTCCAGATTTAATCTCAATTAAATCGTGATCAAACGGCCCAGATTCAATCTTGATGGACGGTCAAGATTAAAAGGCAAAGGGTATAAATACCCCCACCCACACCTGACCAAAGAAACCCTAGCCGCCAGTGCTCGCCGGAGAAGAAGAACCAGAAGCCAGAGGAGCCAGCTGCCGCCACCCGCCACCGCACTGGGGAAGTTTCCGATCGCCGATCGAGGTAATTTTTCTCCCCCTTGCTCGTTTTTCGACGCTGAGTCCGCCTATGGCCAAATCAGAGCCAAACCACCGGCCAAACGGCCGAAAAACACAGCCGAAATCCAAGGGCACCGCCGCGCCCCTCCTCAGTTTTTGCCTCCGATGAGGCCCTTCCCGGCCTCCGTTTGATACAATTTTTATATCACCGTGATCACCATTCTTTTCTCTACAGGTTGATCGGAGCCAAATCACCAAAACACGAAGCTCGCCGGAGAGCCGCCGCACCCGAGAGCACCGCCGCCGGTAAGCTTCGGTTTTTCGTAATTTTTTGGCCCCCCGAGGGCCCTAGGGTTGTTTTATCACAGGGACCGATGCAAGTGTGGCCGAATTCGGCCGAA